GCAGCACCCGACACACCAGTGTTGGCTGCTTCTGCGTTGAAGAACTGCCACAAATCATTCAGATCTTGCGGTTGACTTCCGGGGACTGTGGGGATAGTAAATAAAAACCGATAAGGGGTTTCAGTAACATAACAATACTTTCGATTCATAGTACATGTACTAACCAGGCTCGCACATGGGTTTTTTTGTACAATTTGTAGATCTCTGCGGCACATCAGACAGGGGCGGAAGAAAATACTCCGGCCAGAAGGCGTTGTCGGGGTTCTGAACCCAGGCGTGTGTTTGGAAGGAAGACTCTTTCACCCCCACACCGGGCTGGGTGCTCGAATCTGAAGGTAAGGGAGAAGGGATTATCAGCTAATTTTCTTGTTAAATTCACAATAACAACATTGTTAGCATTTTTATGTAAATCTCCCCGTAAGAGTATGCCAGAGGTTCGTAATAGCTCCGCTGGGATGTTAGATGGCCCTGGTCGACTCGCTTGTGGCCTTTTCCCCCGTCCATCTTCAAAAATAGTTTTTTATATTCACTGGTTTTTCCGTAAGCTCTAAATTTTTACTTACCGCTAATAGCTCCCGTCACTCTATTTTCTGGCGGGGGGTAGCGGACAATCTGCATGGGCGGATCACCAGTGATTGTTGGGTCCATTATTCATGTTTTCACTTATAAATTAGGTATGATTGAAAGAACAGATTTCAGGGGTTCTTCAAAACTCATAATACTCTATACCTGGCCATATAATCCCTCTGTTGCTTATTGGTCTGTAGTATCCGGTTTGCGTGGCGCCGGGGTAGTAGGCTGGTACCAGCGGCAGCAATGCATAGGGGAATTGGATTGCCTGCACGCACCTAGATCCGGAACACCACCAGTAGGCAGCGCCGTTGAGCGTGCGCTAACTCCATTATCGCTGCCAACATTATTGTTAGCGCCCGCATGCTTGTTAACGCTAACTCGCAGGAATACTTTGGGAAGGTCCGCTCTTATCGCCATAAAAAAGCTGGCACCTTCGTCGTCGGAGATTCTAATGGGCGGTGTTCGTCTCCATTCCGGGCCCAGCATCCAGTGCGGCCACTGGTAAGTCAACACTATTTGCTTATGAGGTTGCAGGCGCAATTTCTCCCGCACAACCAGTTGCATTGCGTCGAAACCAGTTGAGACTCGATCTATCCGACTGATGCTCCCACCACCCTTCATCATGCCTGATCCACTCTCCGCAGACCACTTCCACCGAATGCGCCATTTTCCTAAAAAGGTTAGTTTCATGTTAGCATCATAACTTAAGCCACCGTAACAGCATCAGTCCACTAAATATCCAGAATTTATATGTTTCGTTACCTTAGCAGATGGGTAATTATTGCAGGATCAATAATTTTGCTTCGCAGTTAATATGATGAAAGCAACCGTTGAGTCAACTATATTTTTTGAAAAGAATAAGAGAAACTGAAAGGTCCACCACTTGGTGCACCCTAAATACACCACTTGGTGCACCCTAAGTACTCCCCTAGGTCCGCAGATATTTTCGTCTAACAGGTTTATATTTTTTTTATATTTTGCTTGTCTTTATAGATTTTGTTGCCTAAGTAACTTCTTCCTCCAGATTTCCTGGTCGACGGCGCAAGATTCGTTAACGTCATCTCACATTTAATGCTTCCCAAAGTCGAGCGTTACGTAAGGATATTACCGTCATAATATTTAATTGTATTATGTTTCTATCTAAATATCAACTATTGGCTCCCTTAACTAAGGCTTACGGAAATAACTAAGGTCACTCCCTTAATTTTCTATTTCTTTTATTTATTAAATGTAAATATTTATTATTATTTTGACTTTTTAGAAGTTATAAAAAAATTAAAAAGAAAAAGAAGATTTGTAAAATAATTTCTAGGAAAAAAAAACGAACATAGTAATCCATACATTATTTACCAAGTTTATTATTATTTTTGACTTTGTAAAAGTTATAAAAAAATAGAAAAGAAAATTTGTAAAATAAATTATAGGGAAAAAATGAAACCTATTAATCCATACATTATTTACCAAGTTTAAATCATAAGCCAATATTTAACATGAGATGAATGAAGTTATACATGGGATTTAATGCTTAATGCTTAATTTTATGGGATCAAATATCTAGCCCTTAATTTATTAGTATATATAAGAAGAATAAGACTATGGCTGCCTTGTTTTGGGATTACTAGAGACGGGTTATCATGTTACGAGGAGGTTAATACATTTATTTAAAACATTCATTAATACTTTTTTCTATTTGTTACTTTCATATGTATGTAATCTAGATTTTTGTTGATATGTCGTGTCAGGTGATAAATCTGAGAGAGATTTTGAAATGTTAGTGGACATTTATTTATAGGAATTGGATAATCGTCCACCATCAACTTTGATGGTAATCTCAAATAACAACATCCACCACGGAAAGATTTCTTGAGTCTTTTTGAAGATTTGAAAAGTTATAATGTTCTTATAGCACAGCCTAATACCATTAGCTCAGTATATATATGGTTTTTGATAAATTTATTTGAAAGTTCAACATGTTATCAAAAAACGGAAGAGACGTCACCAGAGTTTAGCAGAAGATCTGTATATGAAGGGACAATAAAAGTAGCTAATGCAGAGTTCTTTTTTTTTTTTTTTTGTCATCTGAATATTTATTAGAAACATAGAACACATTCAAAAGATACATTTTTGAGATTCTAAGGTAAAAAAACTAATGCAGAGTTCATCAATCAAATTTTATCAATCTCACTTTTATTATGATCATTTGTTTCTTGTCAGAAAAGCTTTGGTTTTATGTATTAAAAAGAAAAAAAGTTTTTTCATTTTTTTTTGTTGTTAAAGTTTGCTTTGAGTTCAAATGACTTGTTGTTTTATCTCCTTCTCTTGAATGGTGAGGTTTGATGCTCTGCTTGTGTCCTACTGCTTTTTTCAATTACTCGAAGATCAATGCTTAATTTTGTAAAAAGATACAACTTTTATAGGTTTTTTCTTTATTATATCAAGTTTTTTTAAAACTATTTTCACTCAAATAAAAAACGAGTAAAAACAACTTAAATTTTGTCATTGATTTATTAATTTGAACTATGATATATATTTTATATTTCAGATAGAATTTCATCATTTTTAATGTCGAATATTCTACAATATTATTTACACTTTAGGAATTTAATAAGGTGTAACACTTCTGTATATAATAAAAAAGGAATATTATAATATAAAATCATATGCTGGATAGAACTGAGAATATAACACTTATTTAAAAAAATTTTCTCTCCAACCGTGTACTTTGACTAGATTATTTTGGAGGTCAGCCAAAATTAAACACGAAAATATGTGCTGATATGTCATTGATTGGATATTATCCTTCTGCAAAAGAAGATGGTCTTCCTAATCACCGCCGTTTATCGCGTCACCGCCACTACGTCAGCCAAATGAGAGGCAAAACCGTCCGACCCACTTTTTTTCTTTTTCTTTTTCTTCATGGCCACTAAACTAGTTATTACTTTCTGTTATGCATAAATTCGAATATAAGTTTGTTTGTTTGTTTGTTAAGATTTAAGAGGTTTTTGAGTTTTTAACAAAGTCATTCAGAAACTAAATTTACAACGTCAGTTTTTCTACAGCAATTGAAACATTCTACGTAAGAAAAATAATTAGTCAATGGTCTCTACTCTCTACCTTCCTTCACAGATATCTTTTTGCACTAATTTCAGGGTTGAAATGTGTTAAGTTCTCTTTCTAGCACTATTAAAACGTAAGTTAATCACTTAATGAATTTAAACAATTGATCGAATTTTAAAAACCAAAAAGAAAACTATTAATAGAAAGGACGAATTGAAGACTAGCTATAACAGGTAAGAAAACATTTCTACCGATAACATTTAGGCACTTAGCATTTTATTTCTTCGCCGACGTCCGAACCCTACCTATGATTTGGACTGATGTTGATATTCGGAAAAATCGGCTAAACACATGAATATTCACAACCCCATGTTACCACATCGTTGAATATCCATGAGGTCAGAGGTATTATACAGTACATACATACATATATATATATTAATATATATACGTATAAATTGTGAAAATTGGATGAACGTGAGCCATTTACTTTCAAAGTCTGTCAAAATGGGCCCATTACAATACAAAAACTGCTCAACTCTAAAATGTCCATTCCACGCGGAGTCGACCAAACAATTAGACCAGATTCACTCAATCAGATAAGTCGAACCAAACTCAAGTGTGAATGATTCTTCCTAAATAATATAATCTCATACAAGTGAACTGTCACTTGTACACTTTCCTAACATATATGTAATGCAGTATAATCGGCCAGGAAAGAATAATAGACTAACAAAACGTATAGATAAGTACATAATTATAAACTCTAATTAATTATAAACGGAAATGTCTAAAATAAAGTTGTTTTGTTTTTATTAGCGCATTTATCTTGGGAGTATTTCACTCAAAATCTCTTAAAACATTAACACAAAATATATTAATATTTAATTGGTAGATATTTTAAAAAAACGTAAAAATTAACACTGACTCATTTGAATTATTTTTCCATTATATATATGTGTGTACATTATATAATCACTTAGTTAAAATAATACTTACATATAACAATTTAACACGTTAAATTAAACATCCAAATCACATATATAGGCTGATTATTAAAGCTTATATATGTATATTGTCATGAGTCATGACCGTATACAAAATGTTTTCAACTAAACAATTGTCTAAACTGATTTTTAGTTAGAGCGCGGAGAAAGAACAAGTAAGTAATGCATGGACATAATGATATTTTTCGTTTCTGAACCCATCCAAATTCAGAAATCGTAGTCGATATTGTTGTAAACAACTTTGAACGTACTATGCGAAGATAAACATCTAATTATAATATTACTATAAGTCAAGTCAACCATATACATTTTTATAAGTATTTAAATTAGTCAACCATATACATGCATATATATATATTAGGTATGCGTTTATGTAAGCTAGGTAGCTCGTTAATCATGGATGCGCTTCTTCTTCTCACTCTCCTCTCTCTCTTCAGCAATATCTTTTCTCTCGCAGAAAGTAAGTAACATTAGCAATTAGCAAATACAATTCTCTACACTCCATACATTAATCTTCGTTTTATCTTAAACTTGACCTACTTTAATTATATTTAATCTCTAATCATTTTTTTCTTAATTTAAATTTCCAAATAATCATTAGATATAAGCATTGACTGTGGAGCGTCGGGATCCCACGTGGACTCAGACAATGTAACATGGGTTGGAGACAAAGGCTTTGTCACGACCGGTGAATCTTTTGAGATTCCCGGTAACGTGACGGAGCCGGCCAACACCGTCCGGTTCTTCCCCTCCGGTCAAACGAATTGCTACAGGAACATCCCGGCGACAAGACGCCGTAAAACTCTCGTGAGAACGTTGTTTTACTACGGTAACTACGACGGGAAGTCCTCACCGCCGTCGTTCAACGTAGTTTACGACGGGAAAAACCTTGACAATGTTGTGTTCAGCGACGAGGATCAGTCACTGTTTGTATCGGAGGTGTTATATTTCCCGGCAAGTGAGAATATCAGCGTTTGCCTAATCCGCACGTCTCCGTCAGATGATCCTTTTATAAGTTCCATTGAAGTTTATGGTATGGATGCTGGGATGTATGACGATCTTGGTCCCGACGAAGGTCTCATTCTCCGACAAAGAGTTGCGTATGGGGCCAAAGAGATTATAGGGTACGAGTTAAAACATATTCAACAATTCTATTGATCGAGTTAAAAAAAACAAATTGGCGTTTTTTTTGTATTTGTTTTTTATCTTCTTAGTGGACTAACATTTTCTTTGTGTGTACTTTGGAGGACTTTCTGAATTTAGCTTACGTTTTATTGCCATTGGGTATGAGTTTTGTTTTCGTTTTTTACATTTTCATTGGTTTATTAATTAGCTTCTTAGGCTGACTATCCTGTTATATTCTTTTATACCGAATTAACTTTAACTTTTTGTGTTCTTTCTCTTTAGTTGAATGTTAAATTAACTCAAAGAATTTTTTTTTTTTTTACAGTAAGATGCTTCTTAAACTTGAATTTAGAAAAAAATTGAAAGATATTCTAATTAATTTGTTCCTTTTGTTGGTTTGTTGCGAATTTATTAGCTATCCTATAGATCCGTACGGTAGGTTATGGTTCCCGTCAACGTCCAGCGACCAAACAATCATCGAGCTAACAACATCAGCCCCATCGATTGACATCACCGGTGTGGCCAATAAGCCGCCAGAGATTGTTATGTCAAAAGCTTTGGCAGCAGACGGCCTAAGACTCTTTGACGACTCTCTCCCCTTAGCCGGCCTACCGGTTTACTTGGCTCTATACTTCTCAGAGCCTCAGATTCTAGGTCGGACCCAGAGACGGTCGTTTAACGTTTTTTTGGACGACACGCAACTAGGATCAGGTCCCATCGTACCGGTTTTCGGGAAAGCAACTCAGGTCGTCATAAGAGACGTAGTAGCCACTTCGCTGTCTCAAGTGATTTTCCAGTCTACGGACGACTCGGTTTTGCCTCAAATCGTCAATGCTATGGAGCTATATTCGATAAGTAATGGCCAGGACGGTGGTGATAACGGAGGAGGAGGAGCAAGCGGCGGTAGCAATGATGATTCGCAAGGTTGTTACTTACTTCCTCACTTATATATATAAACATATTATTTTTCTTAATTTATCTTATTGGTGGTAGCCTACCAAATATTCTACAATCTAAAATAAATAGCTAAAACTTGGATTGTGATATTTTTGGAGTGAAATGAGTGATGATAAAAATTCGTGTAAATGTTTTACCCAAAAAAAAATTTAGTGTAAATGTATCATTTGATGCTAATTAATTTTTATTTTGTTATTATGGTTATAAGTTTAGGTTCTGGAGGAACAACAACACGAGAAACTAATGTAGTTGGAGGTTTGGACTCGCAAATTGTATCCATTTTTCTATTATGTTGTTTTTATTAATGGAAGACACTCTTATCTAAATGTTTGATTGATACAATCGTCTTAGGTGGGGCAAACAAAATTGGACGGAGGAAGAAAATATCCAAATTACCACTCATTCTTGGCGTTACGTTTTCCTCTGCGTTTGTGGCTCTCTCATCAGCGTTTGCGGCGATTTTCATCAAGAGGCGTCACAACGCTAAGCCACAGTCCAACAAAGCGCCAACCAAGTCCACAGGTATAAATATTCCGGATGAAAACATATGAATTGTCAGAATCTTGCTGTGATTAATGCAAATGTTTTTAAAAAAACATAGGAATAGTCTTCGATTATTTTAACACATTTATGATTACATTTTTCAACCTTTAGCTGGAATTATTTATATATTTTTTTTTGGGACTGTCCTATGTTTTTAGGGTCGGGAGTAGTGACAGGGATATCGCCTCTAGTTGGACAGCAATTGGCGGGCGACGTAAGCAACCCAGGGCACGATGAGCCTGATGTGTATGATATCGATGATCTGATTGGTGTGAACGATTCATATGTTGTTCATCACGATGATCATCATCAACATGGAGCGGCCTAGAGGACGATCTTTTTGTTTCTTTATGTTCAAATTATTTGTTGATGCATGATTCAAAACGATCTTCTTGTGTCTTTATGTGCTTGTAAACATCTGATCTCTTGTTAAAACCCTACATTTAGTTTAAATTAAATGCATCATCTTTTATCTATATATAATAACAATCTGAATAAATGCCAATTACACTTTGAAAAGTTGTGTCTTTTCAAAATTTGTGGTTGGGTCTTTCATTACCAATGTTTGCGTCCTTTATTAACTATAATTTGTGTCTTTTCAAAACTATTTGTATCGGTCAAAATCACAGAAAAAAAATTATTTGGATCTAACTTTTACTTTCTTACTATAATAGGTTTATTAGGTTTAACTTTTATTTTCTTACTATAATGAGTTTATTATTACAATAAGCTGTGAAATAATGAAAGTTTTTTATGTCAGTATTCTTTTATATGAAATAAAATCTAATAATATAAGGGTTGTGTTTTCTTTTTACTAAGCCAAACATTTTTTTAATCTTTTTAATATATGTTTTATCTATCTATAATAATTATTTGAGTCTGATTTTACTTTCTTACTATAATGGTGACATGTGACAAAACTGGTAACTATCCGAATAAATGTCACTTGCAAAGTATAAATATTTGAATAAATGCTACTTACCCTTTACAAGGTTGTGTCATTTCAAAATTTGTACTTGCGTCTTTTCATTATAAATAGTTGCTTCTTTTCATTATAAATGATTGCTTCTTTTCATTATAAATGATTGCTTCTTTTCATTATAAATAGTTGTGTTTTTTTATCACAACTGTTATCTGTGTCTTATCAAAACTATTTATATCGTTCAAAACCACATAAAAAAATGTTTAGGTATAACTTTTATTTTCTTACTATAGTGGATTTATTATTACAATATACTGTGAAATAATAAAAGCTTTTAAGGTCAGCATTCTTTTTTATAACATCAAATCTAATAATTCAAGGGTTGTGTTTAGAAAGACTATTTGCATTTTGATAAGTTGTATGGTTTCAAAATTTGTGGGTGCATACTTTCAATATAAACAGTTGTATTTTTTCATTATAAATAAATTATATAATAACAATCTGAATAAATGCCAATTGCACTTCGAAAATTTGTGTATTTTTCAAAATTTGTGGTTGCGTCTTTTCATTCCCAATGGTTGCGTCCTTTCATTGACTATAATTTATGTCTTTTCAAAACTATATATATCGGTCAAAACCACATAAAAAATTTATTTGGGTCTAACTTTTACTTTCTTAATATAATAGGTTTATTAGGTTCAACTTTTATTTTCTACTATAATAGGTTTATTATTACAATAAGCTATGAAATAATGAAAATTTTTATGTCAGCATTCTTTTATGTGAAATAAAATCTAATAATTCAAGGGTTGTGTTTTCTTTCTACTAAGCCAAACCATTTTTTAAATCTTTTTAATGTATGTTTTATCCATCTATAATAATTATTTGGGTCTGACTTTTACTTTCTTACTATAATGATGACCGGTGATAAAACTAGTAACTATCCGAATAAATGTCACTTGCAAAACATAAATATCTGAATAAATACCACTTATCCTTTACAAGGTTGTGTCATTTCAAAATTTGTAGTTGCGTCTTTTCATTATAAATGGTTGCTTTTTTTCATTATAAATTGTTGCGTTTTTTCATCACAACTGTTATTTATGTCTTATCAAAACTATTTATATCGTTCAAAACCACATAAAAAATTATTTAGGTCTAACTTTTGTTTTCTTACTATAGTGGATTTATTATTACAATAAACTGTGAAATAATGAAATTTTTTAAGATCAGCATTCTTTTTTATAACATCAAATCTAATAATTCAAGGATTGTGTTTAGAAAGACTTTTTGCATTTTGATAAGTTATATGGTTTCAAAATTTGTGGGTGCATACTTTCAATATAAATAGTTGTATTTTTTCATTATAAATGATTGTATTTTTTCATTATTAATGGCTGCATTTTTTTCATCACAGATAATTTGGGTTTATTCGAATTATTTATATAATTAAAATCACATAAAAACCACTCTATCTATAATAATAATCTAAATAAATGCCACTTGCACTTTAAAAAGTTGTGTCATTTCAAAATTTATGGTTGTGTCTTTGCATTATAAATGGTTACGTTTTTCCATCACAACTGTTATTTGTATCTTTTCAAAGCTATTTATATTGCTTAAAACCACAGAAAAAATCAATTGGGTCTAACTTTTACTTTCTTACTATAGTGGATTTATTATTGAAAGATTCTCTATATATTTATTTATTGCTTTACACTTTTTGTGAATACAAATTTTTAGTAATTATAAAAATAGTTTAAAAATTGCATATTTATATTATATTTTTAGATTGTATATTTTTCATATTTAAAAAGTTGTGTATCTTATTATTTTTTAATTTTTTTTTTATTTTTTCTGTTAATAATTAGTTGTAACAATCTTTTTATCTTAATAAGTTTGTACATTTCCCTTTAAAACTTATTGTTAATAATTAAAAAAATTACCTTTTTATTTTAATCATTATAAATTTTTTTCAATGTTTATATTTTTTTATTATTAATTTTTATTTTATATATTTTACTTATAATTATTTTAAATAAATTTGAATGTAGTTTTTAATATACCGTAAATTAACCCCGCGAAGCAGGGTCCCTTTTCCTAGTCAAGAAAAAGGGGAAAACGGCAAATTGACCTATGAATTATTGAATCTCTCACAATTATGAACTATACATCAATGTCAATACTTACATGAATTGAATGTCCATCATAAACTATTCAAATTCGGTTAAAAACACCAAAATTATAGACATTTGGCCGTCAGCGAATGCTGACTGGAATGATACGTGATTTATAAAACGACGTTGTTTTATAAATCAATTGTCGAAAAGACAAAACAACGTTGTTTTCTAAATTAACAAAAATCAAATAATGTTGTGTCGTGTCGTGAGAGAAACTTTCTTTATGATTTGAGAGAAAATTCTTAGAACCCTAGACTTGATTCTGCAAAAACTATTGCTATAATCACAAATTTTCGATTTTGCAAAAAAAATTGAGAACTTTCTTTCAAATCGTTTTTGCGGAATCAAGTTTAGGATTATAAAAACTTTCTCTCAAATCGTAAAGAAAGTTTCCCCCTCTTATTCAAGATACGACATTGTTTGGTTTCTGTTAATTTAAATAACAACGTCATTTTGTGTTTTGACAACTGCTTTATAAAAATATTTTTATAAACCACGTGTCATCCCAAACATCCGCTAACGGCCAAACTCAGGTCGTTTACAGTTTTAGTGGTTTTTAACCGAATTTGTATACTTTAGGATGAAAATTCAAAAAGTAAATAATTAATGTAGGTATTAACATTGATGCATAATTCATATATGAATTGTCAGAGAGTCAACAGTTCATACCGAAATTGCCGTTTTCCCAAGAAAAAAGAGAAATCTACCATAGCAAAAATTTACAAATAACTATAGATTTCAGAGATTATTATAATATCTGAGATAAAAAAATTGTTTCGGTTACTAAACATTATTGTAGATTATAGTATCTAAATTGGTGAATATTTTATTTCTTCTTACACACATCACTTGACGCGATATCTCCACCGTGATTGAGTGCCAAGCTCGCCATCCAATAAAATGGCATCGTTGTCAATCAATTCAGTATTTTTTTTTTTACTTGAATTTCTTTATTTGTTTCCCACGAAGGGATAAAGTTTACATACAACATTTGAAGAACATAGAAGAAAGAGAAAATAAAGAACATTTATTACACAAGATGAAACAAAAGTGAAGCAATTGAAAGAAACCTTGAAGAAAACCAGATTACAGTTGGATGAATTTGAACCAAGTAGAGATGAAAGATTCTTCTTCTGTTGTGCTTGAAAAAGTGGAGATGAATAACCGAGCTTTTCGGTCTAAATTTGCGAGTTTTGCTCTCAAATTAAGTCGCATATGCTTAACCACCGCATGTGTTGGTTTGGTAGTAGTTGTATGCAATCTTGAGTTCTGTTCTTTCCATAAATCATAGACCACGGCTTGAAAAATCAACTTGCAAATTGCCTTGAGTTTTGAGTTCCTTGAAGAAGACTGTATCCAACGAACGACATCGTCAAAAGAAGCCGGAGAGGAGAGCAAGCTATGAGAGAGAGAAAAATGATCTCCAAACCTCTAAAGAAAAAGAACATCCATAGAAGAGATGATTACGAGATTCCGGATCCATCCCACAAAGTAAACATACGCTTGGAACAGACAATCCCCACTTCTCAAACAGTCTCTGGTCGTTAGCCTATCCTGAACAGCGACACATAAGACGATTGTATGTTTTGGAATCCTGAAGTTAAACCAAGCCAAAGTTGGTAAAGGCAGGTGAAGCGAGGTCCAAGTCTTTGAAGTTGAAAAAAATTCCCGTAGGAGATCTTGTCGAATTCCTCCGAAGGTAGAAATCAGGTTCGAAGAATTAATCTCATAGATAGAGGAAGTTAAACAAGAACGTAGTAAGAGAAAAAATGGATGTCTCCCTTTAGGAAGAGCCCATTGACCTCTTAATTAAACTTGCAAAACCACTGCCATAGATCTTATCTCAGTGACACGAGATCCATTAGGACCTGAAACTTCAATCAAGAGACCAAGTCCTGTCCAATCATCATGTCAAAACAAAACCCAATTACTAGAATGAACTGGACAAGCGAGATAATGACGCACTAATGAACAATGTTTTATCACTCTCCTCCAGATCCACGAACCAGAATGATTAAAATCAGCTTACCAAACAACTTTCGAGCAATAATATTCTTATGAACCCAAGCTACCTATAGGGAGCCATTTTCTGCAAAAAGAAGCCATATTGACTTTAAGCCATACACCTGGTTGGAGTCCGCAAATCTTCTCAATCACAACCCACCAGAAGTTGTAGGAATACAAACAGAATCCCATGCAATCTTTGCATTCCTTGCCGAATTAGGAGCACCATTCCAATGGAACACGGTGAACCTTAGATTCAACCTTGAATAATTCGTATTTTATTGATAACAAAAATCGAAAGATTACAGAACGGACTCGTCAAAAATACTGAAAAGAGGGTTTCCAAAAACTGGGATCCCGAGCGAGAAGCTCTAACACGGAAGCTGATCTCCAAAAAGGAGAAGCTTATTACAACGCGTAATTAAAGCTTAATTCCGTAAAATCCGAAGTAATGAATACGTTTTACGTACAAGGTACGGTCCTATTTATAGGGAATTAAGGCGGTGGCTTCATTGGGCTTCACAGGCTTTCTAGCGGAATGGGCCTTGTCGGGCCTTATCTTCGGATTTGGGCCGAGCTGAAGCTTTGGACTTCTTTTATCGAATCTGGGCCAAGCTGACTTTATCTAATTAATTCTTGAAGCTGGGCTGGAAGCTTCTTCTTCTTTCTGGGCTGGAGAACACATTGGGCCGATTTGATTAATAAGGCCTTTTCAAGGCCTGGTACCAACAGTAAGTCCCCCCCAGTCCGTTTGACGAAAAGAAAATTTTTGGTTTGAGTCAAGGGATTCTTCAAAAATTATCGATTCGGTTTTAATCGAAATTGGCCTGAATGTAGGTCCTGTACGGAGTCTGTACGGAATTGCCAGCTCCAACGTGGGTCCCGGCTTCACTCTAGGTTAGGCAAGTGTTTCCTCTTCCTTTCTTGCTGATATATCATGGTTTTTATGGTTTTTAACCATGATATAAGTCCTTTTTATTGAGTCTTTTTGGTCTTTTTAGAGTCCTAGAAGAGTCTTTGCAGGTTAAAGCATGTCTGGAGCATAATTGGAGATATTGGAACCTTTTGGAGCATTCTGAGTTGAAGCCACGAAGTACCAAGATCGAAGCAGAAAGTATTCACTAATGGTGACGATCGTCACCCCATTGGTGACGCTCGTCACCCAGATAGGAAGGAGCGTGGCTATTTGTTAAAAGTATCAAGAAGAATTGCAGAACTTACCCAGAAGTTTCCTTTATTTATATGAAGACCCCAGATCGTGTTTAGCCCCTATATATTAGGTTTTTCAGCCACTGTTGAAAAAAAATCTTAGTTTTTGAGAATTGAGAGAGCTAGAGAGAGATTTTATTCAGAGCTTTTTGGGGAGACAAATCCTGTACTCTTTAGAGAAGATTTCGAACCCCCTTTGTTTTCTACTCTTTCTCTTAATGCAATTTTATTCAGTTATGTTTTGTGATCTCATAATCATGTCTGAGTAATCTGCTAGTTAAGTTAGGGTTTTTCAAAGGTTGATGAAAAGAGTGTAGAATCGCTATCTGTTAGGATTATCTCATGGTTTTTCATCTCTGCTTGCTTTAAAATCAAATTTCTGAGACACATCATCTAGGAATCCGAAAATCATAGGTTGTTAAATATTTGTGAGAGCATTATTCATAACCTGAACTAGTATTTGATGAGCAAAACAACTTAGTACAAAGAGATTTGGCTTAGGAGTTTTGTAAACAATTGAATCTGATCATTCCTGCATACTTAGGTTGTTAGGGTTTGCAAAGAGATTTGAAACTCTGTGATCTAGGTATAGATAACTTCTACAATGAGAATTGATTAGTTATGCATTAGAGATTCATGTTTAAAAACGGTTCTTAATCATTCCTGATTCCCTGCATTCTGCATTCTTGGATTCATACCTGCGAATTACCCTAGCTTAGCGCTTTTAGTCTTCCTGAACTTAGAACATATCATACCATCGTTTGCTTATTTCTAATTATTCATTCGCATTACATACATCATATTTCGCTTAGCTTAGTCCAAATCTATAATTGATAGTGTAGTTAGCATTACTCTCTTGGGATTTCGATACCCCTTATACTACATCTGCTTTGCTGTGCACTTGCAGTAGTTTTTATTTGGTAAAACCTGAACCCTATCAAGTTTTTTGGCGCCGTTGCCGGGGAGTAATAGCTGCCTATCGATTTTTAGTATTAGGATTTTGTCTAAGTTTTTATTTGTTTACTGACTTTCAGCTACTTTTCTTTGTTCCTGTTTCAGGTGTATGCCTAATCGCAGAACCAGAAGCAACAAAGAGAAGGAGCTTGTGACTTTGAGCATCGACGAGCTTGCTAGGTTGGAGAGAACTAACAGGAAAGCTAAGAAGCAATCTGCAATGGTCGCTCCACTGATCTTGGTTGAAGATGCAGAAGGTCACTTGGTTGACAGGGAAGGAAATAGGAGGAACGAAGAGGGGCAGAGAATTGATCAAGAGGGGAATGTCATTGTTGAACAGCAGGTTCAGCAAGTGGCTGAGAACGTGGGAGCCCCTGCTGCTGTCAATAACGCTGCTGGGCGTTTTGTTCAGAGGACTCTAGGTGATTACAACAGACCTGATCAGTTCTATGCCAACAGAGCTGCAATCCGACCTCCTGCCTTCCAGAGGAACGATTTTGAGGTTAAACCTGTCTACTATCAGCTAGTTGGACAGCATCCCTTCCATGGTTTACCTCATGAGCATCCTATGGATCACATAGAGAGGTTTGAGGACCTAGCTTCCAGTGTCAAAGCTAATGGGGTTAGCAATGACTTTCTGTTCTGCAAGCTTTTTCCCTATTCTCTTGGAGGAGAACCTGCATATTGGCTAAAGCAACTGGAACCTGCTTCACTAACTACTTGGGAGGACACCAAGAATGCTTTTCTGAATAATTTCTATGATGATGCCAGATCAGAAGACATGAGAACGAAAATTGCATCATTTACACAAGGCCCTACTGAAGCTTTCAAGGCTTCTTGGATCAGGTTCAAGTCTTATCAGAGGGACTGTCCTCATCATGGTTTCAGTCAGGTGCAATTGCTTGGGATCTTTTTCAGAGGCATTGACTGGAAATATCAGATGGCGTTGGATGCTTCAAGCAGTGGAAACTTCAATACCAACAGACCAGAGGAGGCGGTGAGACTGATTGAGAACTTGGTCTGCAGCAACAGCACTAAAAATGCAGACTTTCAGAGAATGAAACAAGCTGGTGCAGCTGATGGAAATCAGATTGCTGAAGTTAAGGCTAAGTTAGATGATATGCACAGCCTTTTGGTAGGGAAGAAGTCAGTTCACTTTGCTGCAGAAGTAGAGACTTTCGAAGCTCCAGAGGAAGTTGAGCAGGAGGATGTAAATTTCATCAACTCTGGCGGATTTCAGGGACAAAGGTATGAGAATCAGCAGTGGAACAGAGGATACAGCAACAACAATCAGAAAAATGCCCCTACAGGAGGACAGAACACGCCTGGTTTCACTCCTAGACCCCCTTTTCAGAAGACAGAGTATCAGAAGCCATTCCAGAGCAGTGGAAACTACAGAAACTATGGTTCTACTTCCTATCAACCAGCACCTCCACAAGAGAACAAAATGGAAGCAATGTTCGAACAGATTCTGGAAGGACAACAGAAGCTTACTGTGAACTTCAATGGCAAGATAGATTCGCTCTATCAGGACCTGAATGGGAAAATTGAGAGTCTGAACTCTCATATGAAGAAGCTTGATGTTCAAGTTGCTTAAATTGCAGGAGCTGTTCAGAGGCAAGAAGGATTTCTTCCAGGAAGAACTGATGCTAATCCCAGACACCACGTGAATGCCATCACATTGAGGAGTGGAAGGAACCTGCAACCAGTGTTGCAGAAGGATATAACCTCAAGAAATTTCGTGGGTGTAGAAGAGTATGAAGATGAAGAAAATTTTGCTGCAGAACCATTGGTGACGATCGTCACCAATAATGGGTGTCGCTCGTCACCCAATGAGGACAACCCCGAGCCTGATTCTTCACTTATTGGTGACGACCGTCACCAAGGGAGTGACGCTCGTCACCCAAATCCAGTACTCGACCCCGACTTGTCCAAAGTGAGTGACGCTCGTCACCATTCCAGTGACGCTCGTCACCAGACACCACATATTGCAGTTTCGCCTAAGACTTCAGATAATGCTAAGGAGACCGTGTATAAACCCAAGATACCCTATCCTAAGCATCCTAAGAAGTCTAAGCAGGAGCTTGAGGATGCCAGATGCAAGGCTATCATGGACAAGTTGGTGATAGAGATCCCATTGATTGATGCTGTAAGGATCACTCCTGTTATTAGGAGGTATGTGAAGAGAATGGTGACCAACAACTTGAGCCTTGAGGTTGGAGCTATGATGATCAACGAGCAGGTCAGTGCAGTGATTCAGAACAGAGTTCCAGAGAAGCTTTCAGACCCAGGAAGCTTTGTTTTAGACTGCACCATCTTCAATGACAAGTTTGAGAGGTCATTGTGTGACCTTGGTTCTAGTGTGAACCTCATGCCCCACTCTGTTGCAAAGAGTTTGGGGATGACTGATTTTAAAACTACAAGGATATCTCTTGTCCTAGCTGATAGATCAGTTAGAGTTCCTGAAGGGGTAATAGAGGATGTTCCTATCAAAGTAGGAGATTGTATGATCCCTACTGATTTTGTGGTTTTAGAGTATGGAGAAGAGCCCAAAGACCCCTTGATTCTTGGCAGACCCTTCCTGGCCACTGCAGGAGCTATTATTGACGTCAGGAAGGGTAGAATAGAGCTGAATGTTGGCGATTTAGTGATGAAATTCGAAATGGACAAGCTGATGAAGAGGCCAACCATAGATGGACAGACTTTTTATGTTGATGTTCTCACAAAC